GTCGTCTGCCTCTCGCCTCGCTCTTCTCGTCTGTCTCTCGCCTGGCTCTTCTCGTCTCTCTCGCCTCGCTCTTCTCGTCTGTCTCTCGCCTGGCTCTTCTCGTCTCTCTCGCCTCGCTCTTCTCGTCTGTCTCTCGCCTGGCTCTTCTCGTCTCTCTCGCCTCGCTCTTCTCGTCTGTCTCTCGCCTGGCTCTTCTCGTCTGTCTCGCCTCGCTCTTCTCGTCTGTCTCTCGCCTCGCTCTTCTCGTCTGTCTCGCCTCACCTCACCTCACTCGTCTCGTCTGTCTCGCCTCGCTCTTCTCGTCTGTCTCGTCTCGCTCTTCTCGTCTGTCTCGTCTCGCTCTTCTCGTCTGTCTCGCCTCGCTCTTCTCTTCTGTCTCACCTCGCTCGTCTTGTCTGTCTCACCTCTCTCGCCTCACTCGTCTTGTTTGTCTCACCTCTCTCGCCTCACTTGTCTTGTCTGTCTCGTCTCACTCTTCTTGTCTGTCTCGCCTCACTCGTCTTGTCTGTCTCACCTCTCTCGCCTCACTCGTCTTGTCTGTCTCACCTCTCTCGCCTCACTCGTCTTGTTTGTCTCACCTCTTTCGCCTCACTCGTCTTGTCTGTCTCGTCTCACTCTTCTTGTCTGTCTCGCCTCACTCGTCTTGTCTGTCTCGCCTCACTCGTCTTGTCTGTCTCGCCTCACTCTTCTTGTCTGTCTCGCCTCACTCGTCTTGTCTGTCTCGCCTCACTCTTCTTGTCTGTCTCGCCTCACTCGTCTTGTCTGTCTCGCCTCACTCTTCTTGTCTGTCTCGCCTCACTCTTCTTGTCAGTCAGCTCGACTCGCTCTCCTTGCTGGAGAAATGAAATCTGATCTGTGATGCGACTGTCGTTCGGCACGCTGCATTGAGCAGCCGCGTTCAGTTTTTAATTGTAGTGTCTGTTCTTTTACGGAACTAAATGATTTTTATTTCTATAAAAAAATCAAAACGACGGTGGGGGTCGGTGCCGCGGTGGGCAAGTGACGAGTGTTGTGGCTTAACACCGGTATCACCGTCAACACCGTCTATCGCGGCAAGCCTAGTCTTTGCGCGGCTGAAACACTGATTGAGAGATTACATGAGACGGGATACGAATTGTAAAGTTGTACTCTTTCTTTTAACTTACCTTCGGATGTTTAGTCATGTTTATTTTGTGCTGAAGATGGTATTAATGTGGAGGTGATGATCAGTTCACGTGCGCCTCGCGCTGCTGCGCCTGTTGATCTGAGGCCCTACAGCGATCTGTCACTCCACATTAAACAGTGCCAAAACGGCATTTATTGTTTAAATACTGCAATACAATGGACATCATTTAAACAGCGCCAAAACCGCATTAAATGTTTGAATACTGCAATACAATGGACAGAATTTGAAATCTGAGACGGTTTCATATTAAAATGACCAAAGCACAATGCGATATATTGGATGGGAGGTGTGCTTCATTTAGACTTGTGCCGGTATTCGGTAATGCGATCACGGTAATGAATATGCACGATATTGTAATCGTGGGCTCTTCTAAATACCGTGAATAATTATATATTACAAGTTATTCAGAATTTTGAATGCATTTTAAGAATACTTTTCCCATCAACTGGTCAAAATGATGTAAACAAGAGCAGATGAGAAGCACATGGCGGAACATGTGAGAGACGCTCTGGAGGAAAGCGCACTTTCACTCTCTGACAGCAGATGGCACTAAACTGCAGAAATAATAATAATAATAATAATTCATTTAAATGCAGCCGTTACCCCAGAAACCCTGTAAACAAAGCAGCTGCACTACTTTCTGTCTCTGAAACGTGTTTAAATGATTTAAACAGCCATTCAGATTTGTGTATTTGCCATGATGTTCATCACAGCGCCAAATACTTACATATTTAGACTTAATAGGCTATTTATTTTCAAACTTTTTTTACATTTTAATCTGCACTACAACATGCCCTAGATATTGTTTGAAAGTGTTTTGATTCTTTATTGTTCGAATGCCGGCTGTTCTGACTCACAGACTGTAAGTACGTTTTCATATTTAAAGGTTTTGCCACTGAAGATTCAAACGCGAGTTTTGAGCAGTGTAGAGTAGTGCTTGTTGTTTGTCATTTCTCCGATCACAAATGCAGACATGGTTTTATGTTTACGCAGCGCGATGCAACGCATAAAAAGACATTATAAGTCATTATAACCAGTAATTATGTCCCCTCGTTTATAATGGGTTTTAATGTTTTTGTCTCGTCGCTCCGGCCGGACAGGGCATCACAGTATGTGAGGGGCGTAACATTTCCGTCACACGTTTGAGGTATTCGGCCAATCACAACACACTGGATAGCTGGCCAATCAGAGCACACCTCGCTTTTCAGATCGATGAGCTTTGTAAAAATCGACACGTTTCAGAAGGGCGGGGCATAGAGGAGAAACAATAATGTACAGTATGTGGAAAATAATGTGTTTTATGAACCTTAAACAGCATAAACACATTTGATTACTCCAAATACACAAAATAATGTTCTTTTTAGCAACATCATATGACCGTTTTAAAAATAACATTCAAACTGGATCCTTTTAGAGCTTTAAAGTGCTGGAAATAGTTGTGTGAAATACTTGAAAGTCATTGAAAAGTCCTTGAATTTCTCTCTCAAAGGTTGTACAAACCCTGAAATGAATAATGTAATAACATTCGACTCTTTCTGCCACAACATCATGGTTATAGCATTACTATTTCAGGTTTTCTGACTCACGTCAGCACTGTTTGATCTGTTTATAACAGAGAATTCTGTGCAGAATTCAAACACTTCTCTCTGGATCTCGCAGCGCTGTGCAGTAACTGTGTCGCGAGTTCAACACTGGTTCCCGAGTAAACCTGTTCTGAGCTCGGGGCCAGTTTTTTCACGCTGTGCTCAGTTAAGGCCCCGATATGGGAAGCCAAACACACTGAAATTGGGATG